CTTAGCTAGTCACAATTACTGGCCCAAACATACTACAGTATTTCTTACACGAAAACAACACATTCTTACTCACCATTCTTACTACAGCCACCATAATACCTCAAAGTCTCTATGAAGTCCTAACTAGTTCCTATATGTACAATTTGTCTTGGAGTAGGGGTGGGTAAAGTTCATTAAAATAATTATCATGGACGTATTTATAGAAAAATACCAAGGGATGTTACGTATCGGCGGTGGGAAAGGGACTGAAGACGAGATGTCAAGTCAGGACTAATAATGTTGCAGATTCTTCTTAGGATTTTATCAATAATCTCGCAATATATATCAGGAGCACCAGACCAGATATGGCAGCAATATTCAAAGCAAGGACTAATGGTAGACTTATAAATATGTTAGACAGATTCTGGCGAGAAAAAAAAAGGTTTAGCACGACATAGTGAACTAACGTTCCTAGCTGCAGCAGGAGCAGCTGATTCTTTCGTGTCAGCTGAAAATATTAGTCCGAGATACACATCGGGATTAACATCATCCCAGATTAAGATACGCATACAAATCCCTCATTTTAAATGATCAAACACAGAATGCATAATGTCTGGGACCCTTCAACTTGTCTTAAGTTGATTTAAGTTTTAAAATGGAAAGAGTTCATTTGGAGAAGAACATGAAAATTATCAAGATGTCCCAAAGAATGAATCAACCTCATGTTGACTCATTGCTAAGTAGCGTTGTATATCAAGACATGCAGTTCATGTCAGCTTGAAGAATCATTCTAATGTTTGGAACATTGAATAATTTCGAAGATGAAAATTATTGAAATATCAGAGTCAATGTGGAATTACTAAAGTGGTTTCAATCACAAGGTGTTCAGTCAGTCACCCAACAAAACATGTTGAGTTTTGGAGCGTTTTGGATATTATGATTAGCAGGTATTCTAAATTAGAGAAAAGTAGTCAAAGAAAACAGTATTACTAATAAAATGTCAATACGTGCGTTAAGAAGTAGAAATAGTCGTGAAAATTTCATGGTTTTGTGATGTCAACGAATAATCGTTGTCGCTTTCGTAATGCTCGTTGTAGTAGAGACTTTGCAATCGCAGATAAAACTACAGTAACGCCGTTGAACAATACTGGTGTCAGACGCCTTCGAATATCACTCGCACTAATAGTACTTGCTCGATAATACTCGCTGGAATAGTAACCACCGAATAGTAATCTCTATAGTGGTCAGTATCGAAATATAGTGTAGAAATAGAAAATAGTATAGAGAAAAGCGATCCGTATAGTAATAGAGGATAGAGTAGAAATAGTGATCAGTTAGACGACACGCTAATTCCCATATATAAATTTCTTTTGCCATCACGTGATCTACGTATTCAAAATGGGATCGCCTGTGTTTGCTCTCTGGTGATCTGTTTTCAAACTCCAGTGTCGATAGCGACACTTTATTCCTCAAAAACACACGGTTTTCCGATCATAATTTTGTCACGAATCTTAATTCTCCCATAAAGCATTGAATAAACTCATGATGAGTTGTACGATAATACAATATTCGTAGAGTTTCCCCTATTGCATCGTTAAATATTTCAGCTTAACAACTTTAATAAAATAATGCAATAACAATCCTCAATGCAGATCATTATTTTACGAAGTAAGAAGGTGCAAATGAAAATATAATTGCCAAAATACTCCATTTCATTGAAGCAGAAGTTAAACACTTCCAGCTTGCCTTCTTTCTTTCTTTCTTTCTTTCTTTCTTTCTTTCTTTCTTTCTTTCTTTTTTATATCTTACATTTTTTTACTGAAGCCATATAGCGTTTTTGGTGTCTTTTCCATCTTTCCAAGGAATCAAAACGGAATAGGCCATTATTTATGGAGTATTTGTAGGAGACGTTAAACATTTCTTTCTTTCTTTCTTTTCTATGAGGTATTGATAGGATTTTTCTTTTTTGCTTTCTTTTCTATGTGGTATTATTTGGGCTTTTTTTTCTTTCTTTCTTTCTTTCTTTCTTAAATCTGACGATAAACTACATCCGTCAGCAAGGCCTCTGAACATTATACTGAACGGATGCTTGACAGTGCTTACTGCAAAATTAAAAGAGTTTTCAAAGCTTCTTCTTCGGATTTTAGATCGCTTATCCTTTGAATTTAGCTCAACTTTCGTTTCATCGTAGAAGAGAACATTTAGTAAAAAAAATCAGGTGAGTCACTTTTATCGAATAGCACTGTATGTTCCGAGCTGACGTAGACAATGCAGTGTTGGAAATAATATAATATATAATAGCTGGCCGTTCGTATTCGAGTATACCCGTCTATTAGGACGGCTAGCCAATCCCAATTGCAGACGCTCGCTCAGACACATTTGTGTTTGTTCAACACCCACAGAGCCCAGCTGTGGTTTATACTGCAACTATGCTGAGCAGACCTTAGTTATAGTTTCTGGTAGAGAGCGTGTTATCTAGCGTGATCAACAATTTGAACAAGGCCATCACGCTCAATCCCTCGGCCACGATGACTTGCGGCTTTGTGCTAGCACAGCTAACGAAAGCTCAATTTCACAAACAAGTCTTGAGTCAACCTATGGTATGGTTTTCAGGCATTTTCGAAAGGTGTCGCGCGCTGGGATCGACCTCGATCCATTCTGATAACACCAGGAAGTCTTCTTCGTGTGATATCGACCATGCAGAGATTCGAACCCATGGTCAGGAAGCGAACGTTCTAATCATTCGGTCACGCGATTCTACAGTGTTGAAAGTTATATTCCTCCACTTAACGTTGAGTTGAGACTGTTGTCTGTTTCCTGTACAGCTCCATTTGGGTACCTGGGACTCATTCTGCTCTCCTCTATCTTTACAAGGGTTAAAGCAGACCGGAAATGGAGTACTACTGCCATATATGGGCAGGAGTTAGCCAGTCTTCACTTTCTAGTCTTCATAGAGTCCAAAAAGCATCTCAGCGTCCTTGTGGGTGATGAATCATTTTCCACCCTACAATCCCTTTCCCACAGACGAAAAAAGTCTCGCTGCTCTATCGCTATTTCCTTAGAAAGTACTTACACGAACTCCATTCGTTGTATGCATTTTCACGGCTAAGGCCCCACATGCCACGCCCATTGTAGCGAACCACCTTCATTCCCTTCGTCTTTCATTGTTGAAATGTAAGTTCCACTCGATCAGGTGCTTTTCACGAACTGCTGTTTTGCATAACTGTTATAATTTTGGCTAATCCTCGTCGCCAACATGTTGTAACCTAGGAAAGGTTACTGAATAGAATAATCAAACAAAGGTTGTTAATGAACAATAATACTTAGGAGAAGAACAACACATATAAGATTCACCAGCGGCGCGTAGAATTAGTAGTCAATTGCTAGAAGTCGAGTCAAGTGAATTCCACAATAAATCTCCAACTCTAGGATATCTGCCAACCGACCCACGCCGTCAGATGTGACACAGGGCCGAATTTAATGTGGGATATCCGAGCCCGTAGGCTCAGCCATAAATTCCCAGTAGACCCCGTATAAAACAGAATATAAGTAGCTTTTTCCTGAGACGAGACTCTGCCCTTCGATTTAGCTTTGTCTGGGGATCCTCTCTGCCCAGAGCCAGAGAGTTTAACCAGCACAGTTGAAGAGAAAACTCCAACTCTAGAAAGCTACCAATCGCCCCATGCGGTCAGATGTGGCACAAAGCCTAATTTAATGTGGGGTATCTGAGTCCGTAGACTCGGCCAAAAATACCCTGTAGACGCCGTATAAAACAGGGTCGAGTAGCTGTTTCCCGAGACGAGACTCTCCCATTCAATATATCCTCGTCTGGGGGATCCTCTCTGCCAGGAGGCAGAGAGTTTGACCAGCACAGCTGGAGACGACACTCCAACTCTAGGATATCTACCAACCGTCCCACACGGTCTGATGTGGCACAAGGCAGAATTTAATGTAGGTTATCAGAACCCGTAGACTATTTTTCGGGATTCTGGTCTTTCAGGATTTAAAATGTCGATATTCAGATGTTTCGGTATTTCAAATTTCGGGATTTTAAATTTCAGGATTTCGACATTCAGGATTTTAAGATTCGGAATTATAATCGGCGCCAGATTTCCGGCTTATCTTCATCTAGGGAAGATCTGTCGCTCTGCAAAATTTAGAAGCAAATTTGGCCATTTTCTGGGTTCGAGCGTCAAATAGTGTCGAGAAGTTGACTGTTAAACAGTCAGGAAGGGAGCAGTGTACTTACCTTGTGTTATTAAAATGCTTACTAACCAGAAGGTGTTATTTTCTGTACCAACCCTTTTCAGTTACAGTGGTCACGTGATAGAGTTACCACGTGATCCCTGAAGATGTATAAAGAGGGAAACAAATCTGTCTACTTTTATTATTAAAATTACCTTCCATGTTATCAGACGGTTATACGTTGCAGAAATGTGGCAATATGCTTTACAACCTAAGGTAAATGCATTTGGTATTTTTTTTCCTCGACCTGACCAGAGGGATTGGGAGCATTTTCTCTAAAATAATAGCGTTGGCTGGAAATAAATAACTCAAAGAAGGCACGTTTTATTCCTGTCATCCTGTGCCTGCTTCGAACGCTATATTTGACCTCAGCACCAATAGAGTGAAATCGATAGAGATAGACAGGCCGACATATATATATATATGAAATAAAATCGATTGATTTGGTTTGGTGGATTTGACGACTTATCAACCTTTGTTATTCAATATCGAAAGCAGTCTTATCAGTCTAGAGGTAAACATTGGTCGTTTCCACTTGGGTCTATAGGTAAATATTTGTCGTTCATACTTGAGTCCATGAGTAAATATTGGTCGTTAATACCAAGGTCCATGGACAAATATTGGACGCTTATACGCAAGTTCGCTGCCTGATAGGTGGCCCTTTTGGTGTGTGTGGTCAGACAGCGAAACTGGGGATGCAATCGGCGTATTCCAAATCCTGCTGATAGGGTAGGAGAAAGACAAATAAACACAGACAAAGAGAGATAAAGAGACATTTAGATAGGTAGATGGATAGAAGGGTAGGTAGATATGAAGCGAGTGAAATAGATGGATAAATAAATGGATCGATATGGTGAAAGCAACAGAGATAGATAGATAGATAGATAGATAGATAGATAGATATGAAGGGAGTAATATCGGTGTATAGTCTGAGGTAGATAGATGTGAAGACTTAAACTGATAGATACATATGAAGGGAGCGAGATAGATAGATAGATAGATAGATAGATAGATAGATAGATATATGAGGACTTAAATTTATAGATAGATAGATAGATAGATAGATAGATAGATAGATAGATAGATAGATAGATAGATAGATTGAGTGAGTGAGTGAGTGAGTGAGTGATAGAGATAGACAGATAGGTACTGAGGTAGATAGATAGATATGAAGGGAGTGAGATAGATAAACAGACAGACAGACAGATAGATAGATAGATAGATAGATAGATAGATAGATAGATCCTGAACTATATATATATATATATATATATATATATGAAGACTTGAAATAGATATCGAAGGCAGGGAAATTGATAGATAGATAGATAGATAGATAGATAGATAGATATGAAGTGAGTGATAGAGATAGATAGATACTGAGGTAGATAGACAGATATGAAGATTTAAATTGATAGATTGATATATTTGAGAGGAATGAGATAGATAGATAGATAGATAGATAGATCCTGTACTATATATATATATATATATATATATATATATATATATATATATATATATATATATATGAAGACTTAAATTGAAAGATAGATAGATATCGAAGGCAGATAGATAGATAGATAGATAGATAGATAGATAGAATGGCGTCTACAATATAGTCTTCTTTCCAATTTCCCTGTTGAAAGCAAATATCAATCAATAGAGAACTCGCGTCTAGATTAGCTGGATTAATATTTAACATTGATCGCCGCTGTTAGATTAGGTGGCTGCAAGCTGTGTTATGGGCGTGCATAAAAGCCTTAATGCCTATCGACAGGGAAGCGAGATTAAAGGACGCTGCTTTATAGGGGGTCATGTCTGAGGTTGAATGTGGAGGATTTCACGATCTCTTGTCGAGGAGACATATTCATGAAGAAACATTTCGATTTTAATGATTGATTTCGATCTCTCTCTCTCTCTCTCTCTCTCTCTCTCTTCTCTCTCTCTCTCTTTATTTTACATGTTTCTTTTCTCTTTATCATTTTCGATTTTCTCTCTGCCTATTCGATTTCTTTGCGGGGGGGGTCACTCTATATTACTTACTATATCTGTTTTTTCTCTCTCTGTCTATCTCTCTCACTTTCTCTGTGCTTCTTCCTTTTGTTTGTCTTTGCTTAAGGTCACATTACTTTGAAACACCGGGTCCCGAACGATCACCGAAGTTAAGCAACGTCGAGCCCGGTCAGTACCTGGAAGGGTGACCGCATGGGGATAATCAATGCTGTAAGTCTGGATGTACGGCTGGTGTAATGGATAAGAACCGAATTTCAATTCTCATTGGGTTCGTTATATTCATTTCCGCGAAAATACCTTTGGGAAAGGACCTAGATAGATAGATAGACAGACAGACCGATAGATATGAAAGGAGTGATATCGTTATATATATATATATATATACTGAAGTAGATAGATGTGAAGAAAGGTATGAATACACTTCTTCTTCTCCTAGCTATGGGTTAAATAGTAAGACTTGTACCACTAAAGCATTATTATCTAAAAAATTATCTTACAATCAAAAGATATTTTCTGGCTTTAAATAACCTACAAAGGGTTTATAAATACCGTAGAGAACGATTGAACCAATCGAATTATGCTTTTCTTTATCTATCTTTTTGTTCCTCTCTCTTCTCTCTCGCTGCTTCTGTCGCTCTCCTCTTTCTTTCCTTCTTTCTTTCTTTCTGCTGTTTTTTTGGCCAAACTATCTCACCCTTTTCCCCTTTCTTTGTCTGAAAGATGTTCTCAAAATTTCGGTGAATTTGAACGAGTCTGTCTATATTTCTGAGATGAGGTATTATGTACAGTATTTACATTAGTCGGACTATTGTCCTCATCTTTGTCGCCATATTTGTCACAACGTTTTGGCCGTTGTACGCTCCGGCCTTCTTCAGGTGGTTGGAATTTCGAACTGAACCCTTTATTTCGATCACTTGGGTTAGACTGTTCTAGTTCCACGTGCCATGTTTTTTGATGGATGTCAGTTATCAGTTATCTCCTGCTGATTTTCCCTCTGAAAGTTCTCCACTGCCTTAACCGGGTATTGAACTCCCAATACAGTTAATCCCCATGAAAGAAATAAAGGGTTCAGTTCGAAATTCCAACCACCTAAAGAAGGCCGGAGCGTACAACGGCCGAAACGTTGTGTTTCAAATATGGCGACAAAGATGAGGGACAATAGTCCGACTAATGTAATACTGAAATTGAACGACTTGCGCTAAGCATTTCTCGTTTAGACTCTTATCCATATCCTTTGTGAGCAGTACTGTTTAGATGGTATATTCCAAGAGGGGAAAGCAGCGGGCCACCTTGCTGACAATTTGGAATTAATGTATAGTGGGATGGAGGTGGGAGGGATGCTAAAAAGACAATCGTTACTAAGAGCTAAAAGGGGTGGGGTACTGTGGAGGGGGTCACACCTCCATAAGGGACAGGGCAGAAAGATGAAGTAGAATGCCACACAGTGAGACTAATTACTTCAGTAGTCGCTCATATATATATATATATATATATATATATTAGACATTTTCATGACGGTCGATCCTCGAGTATCGCATCCAAAGGTTGGCAGTGAATATTTCGGAGACAGTAGGAAAGCGTAGTGAAGGTTCGCGGTGGATATCACAGCAGAGTGTAGTTCATCCTTCTCCTGGTCGCCTTTTGTCCTTCTGGTAGGAGGAAACAAGATGGCCGCCTTTATACACTATGAATACAGTGTTGGGCGGCTTCTGATTGGTCAACCTTCTATTAGTCGACTATAAAGGGAAATAAGTCATTCTGACTCGCTCACTAGTTATATGGCATATATACCCAAAAAACCGTAACAATATATATATATATATTCTACTTCATGAAGTAGAATGCCACAGAGTGAGACTAATTACTTCAGTAGTCGCTCATATATATATATATATATATATATATATATATATATATATATACTTCATCTTTCTGCCCTGTCCCTTATGGAGGTGTGACCCCTCCACAGTTCCCCACCACTTTTAGCTCTTAGTAACGATTGTCTTTTTAGCATCCCTCCCACCTCCATCCCACTATACATTAATTCCAGATTGTCAGCAAGGTGGCCCGCTGCTTTCCCCTCTTGGAATATACCATCTAAACAGTACTGCTCACAAAGGATATGGATAAGAGTCTAAACGAGAAATGCTTAGCGCAAGTCGTTCAATTTCAGTATTTACATTAGTCGGACTATTGTCCTCATCTTTGTCGCCATATTTGTCACAACGTTTCGGCCGTTGTACGCTCCGGCCTTCTTTAGGTGGTTGGAATTTCGAACTGAACCCTTTATTTCTATCACTGGGGGATTAACCGGGTATTGTGAGTTCAATACCCGGTTATGGCAGTGGAGAACTTTCAGAGGGAAATTAACAGGAGATAACTGATAACTGACATCCATCAAAAAACATGGCACGTGGAACTAGAACAGTTTACCCATAATCGAGATCATTAACGATTCCGTATTGAATACATGTTCGATTCCTGTCGGAGGACGAATACTTTCTATGAGAATTTCTCGGACATTCAGGCCGATAAATGTTGTTCAATACTGTTTATTATAAAACAAAGCATTTACTTAAATATTTGTATCTATAAAAAGAATGTATAAACATAAAATGTCTTAAAATTATTGTCGGACTTTTTCCATTTCATTATATATATATATATATATATATATATATATGCATGTTTCATTAAATAACAATGTTTCATTAATGCATGTTTCATTAAATAATATAAACAAGTTTTGTCTATTTATTTTAAAAAATAAGTTTCTTTCATATTGTCTGATAAGTCATTTGTTTATAATAAAATTATCATTGAAAGACGAAAAAAACAGTAAATCACCATATTGATTCATGTTTAAATCAATCTAAGCTTTCGGCTTACATAAGCAATTATCAAAGACGACAATTACTTTTCAAATAAGTGTTTATAATTGATAACAAAAACAACATTGGTTTATACCAACGGCTTCCCCATTTCTAATACTTCTCGTTTTCACTCTCGCGTGGTCATGTGTGACGTCACGAGCTGCGACGCGATTTTCGCTTCCATGTCTTGTATACACGCGTTAGTCGTTTGCTTTGAAATTTTTCATGCAACAAAACAGACTGTCATTATTGTTTCATCCGTGTATTGGTTGATATATATATATATATATATATATATATATATATATATATATTCCTTCCGAAGAACCACATCTGTTGCTTGAAGTCTTTTCTTCATCTATGAGATTGCCCAGTTTTCTCTGTCATATTGGAGGACTGATATTACATAAATGTTTAGTACTCTTTTCCTTGTTTCGAGCGAAATTTTTTTGGTTCTTCATACTTTGCTTAGCTTCGGAAAGGCATCTTTTGCTATGCCAAAGCGCCTTCGGATATACATGTTCGAGCTAATAAGAATCTGTTACATTGTTATAGACAATGTGTTTCACACTATTATGTACATTTTAATTTTATTATTTTTTTAGAAAATTAACGAAGTTTCGGAAATAAAAAAAATATTTTTCCGTGTGTCGTTTCCCTTCAGGGTGTGTGCGATCATGGCTCTCCACCTTTTTCATGTACGTTCTCGTTCAATATTGCCTTCTCGTAGACAATGTATCTCTCATTATTATACATTTTTTAATTTTTTTATTGGCTTAGAAATTTAATAAAGATTTGGGGATAAATATATTCTTCCATAGGCTGTGCACCTTCAGGGCGTATGCGATCATGGTTCTCCACAGATTCGTACCTTCCGTAGCTCTTCGTTAATATTTATTTTTACAAAACCTGCCCCTTCATTATTTACATTATTCGTACTATTGTCCTCATCTTTGTCGCCATATTTATTACAACGTTTCGGCCTTCTTCAGGTGGTTGGAATGTTGAACTGTATCCATCCCACTATATCTTCCCAACTGAGCAATGGTGAATGGAAAAAGACCTTTCAGGCCTTCAGTAATGGTACCTACATTAATACCCTCTCCTTGTTCGTAACCTCTCTAAGACCTCATCGTTGCTCACATGATCGGTCTATGATATCCATAGTATCCTTCTGTAGAACAACGGAACCTTGTTTTCGGTAAGGCAGAATTAAAAAGACATACGTGTAGACGGTTCAAGACCATTCCGACTCTCAAGAATATTATAAAAACAAAATATTATTGAAGTAAAAGGGGGCATATCTTCCCGGAAGTGCTTCATCATTGCACATATTAATAACTGTCATTTATTTCAGACAATAATAGATACAAACAATTTGATCATAGGGGCCAAGATTGCATCGTGACAATTAGATTCAAGCGTTGATGCGATTTCTTTCTCTAATTGTTGAACAAATAGTGAGAGTAGAATTTACAACTTAGTAATGGACAACCATCTTCGCTTGATGACAAATGTCGCACATTGAGTGCGTCTGCGTCTGCGCGTGTGTGTTGGTATGGGTGGATGTATTTAAACGTAACAAATAAATTTGTAATATCCAAACGAAAAAATTCGTCTTTATATATATATATATATATATATATATATATATATATATATATATATATATATATATATATATATATATATATATATATATATATATATATATATATATATGTATGTATGTATGTATATATATATATATATATATATATATATATATATATTAATAAAAGTATACGTGGTTTCTCATTATATATATATATATATATATATATATATATATATATATATATATATATATATATATATATATCCCTGTTTCTTCATATCTATCTATCTATCTATCTATCTATCTATCTATCTATCTATCTATCTATGTTAAGCTGTTCATATCTCTCTATATTTATCTTTCTATCTATATCATTCTCTCTTTATATATCTATTTATCGCAAGATATTCATATCTATCTATCTATCTATCTATCTATCTATCTATCTATCTATCTATCTATGTCAAGCTGTTCATATCTATCTTTAACTTTATATATATATATATCACTCTCTATATATATCTGTTTATCGCACGGTCTATCTATCTATCTATCTATGTGAAGCTGTTCATATCTATCTTTAACTTTCTATATATATATATCACTCTCTCTATATATATATCTGTTTCTCGCACGGTCTATCTATCTATCTATCTATCTATCTATCTATCTATCTATGTATCTATCTATCAAAAGTGTTGAAACCTGACAAATGAATATCCGTTAAATCGAGGCCTTATCGCC